GGTTAGGGAAAGGGATCTAGGGCTGAGGGAATCGTAAAGTTGACTTTAATTACATGTATTATGTCAACACATTTCACACAACTGAATTAGGTTAGTTGAAAGTAATAATATCAAGTTGAACCTGTAATATTTTGTATTTACACTTAATATGATTGCTTTCAACTAACCTAATATGTTGTGATGTGAAATCTGTTGACATAATACATTTAATTAAAATCAACGTTTCAGTTTTTAAATCAGAATTTCAAATCAGAGGGTTGGTATGTTTGTGAAATCCAACTATGGCATTTTTTTTTGCATTGTGCAAAGTGAATTTGTACGTTTTTTGAGTAGAAATCTTGCTGAAACAGTTGTTAGCTATGAGAGTCCAGGGGAAAATATATTGTTTTCTTGTTGCAGTCATTTTGTAATCCCTTTGAATGGAAGAGGATTAGTTCCACATGTGAACAGCACATTTCACCATTGATTTAAGTAATCTGTGAAAATGTTGCTGTGGTTACGTATTTGTGTTGGTTCATGTTGTAACAGTTGAAAGACTTACAAAGAAGGTTTTGTTCCTGTCGAGTTTGAATGATGTGTGTTTTTATTAATAGTCTGGAGCAGGTACTGAATGTTTTCGTCCTTTGACTGGGTCTACTTTCTTGGTTATAACTTTATACCGTAAAGATAATACTTCCATGGTTTCTTACTGTAAAGTTTCTAGGTCTATTGTCGTTGTCATAATCTGAACACAAAGTGCACAGGGCTCTCATTAAGATAGTGTTCAATAATTTTACAGAAGGTGTTTTTTATTTAGATTATGAATTGTTCTACTCTTTTTCTCAGTCAGGTTTGTTTGACTAGAGTACTTTATGAATTGTATTAATTACTTATTTTGTACATTAATAAATTGTAAATGCTTTCTAAATCCCTTTTAATATGTTTTGTTCATGACTTTAGCACGTCACAGCTGAAAAACAGCATTGTTTTGAATATTTTGATGAGACTGTTAACAGCTGGGAGAAGATGGATGGATGGATGGATGGATGTTAACAGCTAATCTGCTTCTGATCCAGCCAGATGGCTTTATGGAGTAAGTGGTCCTTGTGTTTTCTCTTTGGCAGTTCTCTCTCTCTTCTCTCTTTCTCCTAGGGGCGGCGGGGTGAGGCTAAGCAGGGACTCCATCAGCCACTGTGTCTTCCACTCAGACTTCTCTGAGCCCTGCAGGACCCAGACAGCATCAGAGATACAGTCATCCAAAATGATCTCAACCCAGAACAACTGAATGTTCTCTTCTCATTGAGATAACAACATGCAATGAGACTAAAAAGCGAAATAATGTCTCTTTCCCTGCATTATCTTTTAGACATAATTAAGGGTGTAAAGTAAACCTTACTAATTCAGCGATATTTCAAATGCTGAGGTCAACCAATTTACATAAGGCTCAATTAACAAACAACCAAACCATAATGTGGTAAATTATGAACACCACAGGTGAAAACATGCATAAATAATTAATTAGAAGAGAGGTTATATTCAGTATAAATTAGCCAGAAATCAAATCGTAAAAGGGACGCTGGTCTTTTTATTACTGTATGAGAGCAGATGTGTCTGGCTTTTCTCTGCTTGTTAGTCAAAGTACATAATGTACCTTCAATCTTATGGTTAGGGTCAAAATATGTTAACTAATCGCTATTTGTATGATCGCTAAATTATTTCAGTTGTTAATCAATCCAAATTGCTTTCAGTTACATTTAGTTACGTTAATTATCTTCTGCAAAAAGATTGGATGGTTTCTGGACCTGGTTCAAACAAAGTGTATCCAGGGAATCAGATGCTAACTTGTTGGAAATGGATAGTGTTAATGTTAGTTGATTCAGGAGATGGAGGGATTTCATTCATGGCACACTTTTTAAAGAGGACACAGTATGATGCTAATTTTCAGGTTCATAGTTGTATTTCGTGCCTCTACTGTGACGTTTACATGGTTTCATTTTCAAAAAGGTCTTTATTTTTCTCACACTGCCTGTGCTACAGCTCCTCTTTTTATTTGTTCAAGTCCAAATCAAATGTGTGACCTCCTGACCAAGCCATGTCTGTCATGTCTGTTTGCAGAGTGCCCTTACTTCTTGTACCTGTTGTGGAAATGAATTAGTAAGCCAATGCTGCAAATGAAGTATACTTGAAGTCAATGTAAGGTGAATTTACCAATTCATTTCACGTTATAATCACCTTTAAGTTGATAATCTCATCAGCAAGCCGCTCCTCCGGGACCTGCAGGTGTTCACTGTCATCTGACATTGTAGTTGTTTTTTCAAATTCAGAGTTCAGGATGAGGTCAGACCACCTGGTTTGTGGCCCCATCCATGGTGACTAGTTGTTGTAACTCAGAGGCACAACAAAGGGGTTCTTCTTACCATCTTTAGGAACAATTGTAAAAAGCAGTGATTCAGAGCCCATTTTCATACACTCATATAATTCAGACAAACGTGTTGGTCTTGATGTCCACATCATAGTCTATAGGATGGTCTCTCAATTTCACTGACTGTTAGGAGGATACGTCCCCTACTGTCCTGGGAGGCAGCGCAGGTCCTGGTCCAGGCTCTTGTCGTCTCACACCTGGACTACTGTAACTCCCTCCTGGCTGGTCTATCTGCAAACGCCATCAGACGCTACAGCTAATTCAGAGTGAGTGTGGACGGTCGGAGAATATACTGCGTTAGCTTAGCCAATCTCCATTTAGAAAACACGCATTTTAAAAGGTTTTTCGCCTGCCGTCTGTCTGCAGACTTGTCAAAGCATTAATTCATGGTTTTTACTAACCGGTATCAGTATGTTGTTACTTCGGCATCATTTTGAAACGTGTATTACAATTAAATCACGGTCAAATATGTTCATCTTGTTGTAGTTGTAGCCCCCTTGCCAGCGATTCTCTCTCTAGTTTAGCATACTCAGCCCGACTCAGCCTGGTTGTTCCTGGCCCTAGAACCACGATTTTATGGGGCCAGAAAAACTGTGAATTAGGACCCGCTAGCCGGTACTAGGCCAAGTGGAAACGCAACCAAAGACGGGCCGCTGACGTCACAGCTCTCTTAAACGGGGCTCCGCGCTGCAGTGGAAACGCGCCATAAATGCGCTATTGCCACACACACACAGAGCCGAGCTTGAATGACACAAGCACACATTTATTTCCATGCAACTCTCTGATTGGTCTGGTGTCATGCCTCTGTTGCATTCACTGAACACGGGAAATTACAGTCCTGCCGTCCTCTCTTGTGTCATGATGAGGTTCACGTAAAGCACGGTTAATGTATTATATTATTGGAGGGAGAATTGTCCGGGGCTAAAGAAAAAACATTCGGGGCTTTAGCCCCGAATGCCCAGGCCAGGCGACGCCACTGGTCGCTTTCATTGATGCGTTTGGCACCCCGGGCCGTTGTTTTGATATTCCGCTGAAGTATACGCTGTGACGTAATAACTCTTTTTATTTTTTTCGAGGGAAGGGGTGGGGGTCAGAGGGCCTAGGTATAAAAGTCACGGCCCGCCACTGCCTTTGAGCTCCATACTGTTTCAGAAATAATCCTTGATAATCCATGATATGGCGTTTCATCACCGCAGTATTTAGTTTAGACAGTAGGCTATCTGCCGGTAGAATCTCCCGCATGAGCTAAGCCCCCTCCTTTTTTTTTTTATTGATTCTTTTTTTTATTAAAGAAACAGGAAGTGAAATAGAGGTATATGAGGCATGGCTAAAATGGGTGATCTGTTTGGTATTTTGAGCAAAACACTTCATAGACATGTTTTTTATATATTTTATATATCTGAGACCTATGCTATTGCCTAAAAATAGCATAATAGGTGACCTTTAACTTAGGCCTTGTAACGAATTCACCAGCACTTACAATGGTATGACTTGCTTGAAGTGAATATATCTTGCTTTCCTAGTTGTTCGGAGTTTGATTCTTGTTGTTTTGAATGGTTTTTGCATTTATTGTAAGTCGCTTTGGATAAAAGCGTCAGCCAAATTAAATAAAGTATAAGTATAAGTTATATATATATATCTCTTAATATAATTCACTGACAATAACAGAATATGCCCAGCATGCTATTGTAATGCACAACTTGCATAATGTTGATCTTATTGTAATTCAGAAAGAGAGGCTAGTAGACAAGCAAAAAGTCTGTAGGCTACATGAAGTAATAACCGCTCATCAAACTAACCCGGCATATTAAAGACACCTTTCTTGTGAAGATCCATCACAACAACAGGTGGATTGTATCCACATGTTACACATGCATACAGTACATGTAATCACGGTCAGTAACGGCCTTGAAATGTAGATCGGCGTGAAGAACCCCTCCTTGTTCGAGAAAGTCACTTTCTCCGTTGTTTAAATCATCTCAATAACTGTGCTCAGAGCAGTATGTGTCTGGAAAAATGTTGAGACAAGTACAAATGTCAGTATATACATGCATACAATATAAGTTTGTGACCCACATTATTTTTCTAAAATCAATAATGAATTACATGTTATAAATCATCTTTTGAGTAATCCAATGAAATATGTAACATCTGAGCCAGTTTATTCTGCTATGCTGTTCTTTGATAATTGTTCAGTTTTACATTAGCCATATAAAGAAAATGTAAAAGAAATGCAAATGCTGGAGAGAACTATCAGTATAGAATAATAAAACATGGATGATATAACAGCAACATAACAGACACATAAAAACAAGTCCCTTAAAACTCCCCGACTGTATGTTAGGACAACCTGGAAATCTGTAATTGTTCACTTTAAAGTCAATGCCTGCTCTATAATCGAACAAAGCAGCGAGGTGACTGATCTGCATGATGTCTAATTTCTATTTTCATATGCGGCAACATTCACCGGTGTCCTGAGGGGAAAAGATTTGCATGTTGGGTGTTTTCATTTCCTCTGTGAGAAGCCCTGAGCGTGCCATTCTGCTCCGAGGCCCGGGAGGAAAGTGACGGGATCCATCTCCGCTGGGCCTTACCCACCATGTTTGGATTCGCAGATCTGAAGCTGTGCGGCACCACCCTCCTGCTGGTCCTGGGAGTGCTAGCCAACGCCTTAAACCTGGGGGTCATGCTGGTGCAGCAGTGGAGGTCCGGAGGTGTGAAAACCCTGGCTGTCATCATCTGCTTCATATCCCTGAGCAACATCCTGCTGCAAATCTCCACCTTCGCCCTGGTGGCCTCCGTCTGGGCCGGGGTGCTCTGCCGGCCAGACCTACCTTTCTTCTTCTGCGTCTTCCTGTTTGTGTGGCTCAGCAGCAACTCCGTCAGCTTCTGGTGTGTCTCATGGCTGAGCGTCCTCTACTGCGTGAGGGTTTTGAGCTTCTCCTCGATTCTCTTCAGGGCGATCAAGATGAACCTCTCCACCATCCTGAACGTCGCCCTGCTGGTGACCCTGCTGACCTCTTGCGTGATGTTCACCCCTTTCTTCTACTCCATTTCCATACCAAAACTCTTGTTCTTAACGTGACAGAAAAGGCTGTTTGTGTCATCAAAAAGCCTCTGTTCCCAGTCTGGGTCAACGTTAACGGTTACGTAGTTACCTTCATCTGCTACCTCACACTGATGCCCTCTGCAGTCATGCTTCCTACCTCTCTGAAGATGGTGGTGTACCTCTGCAGACACAGCTGGTCCCTGCAGAGGAAGGAGAGTGGCTCCCCCGCAGCAGGCTCCTACCTGCTGGTCTGCAGGCTGACAGTGGCTCTGGTGTGGGTGTACCTCACCACGCTGCTCACCATCTCCCTCTACTACTTCCATGCCATCTTTTCTTCAGGGCTGAGCGCAGACATGCTCTTCCTCGGCTTATCGTTCTACTGCGTGGCCGCTGCACTCCTCCTCACCTGCTCCAACAAAAACCTGAGAGAGAGGAACTGCAGGGGGGGGAACACGCGACAAGAAGAAAAGAGTGGAGTAACAGCCACAGTTTGACTGAGATATGTTGTATTGTAAAATGCAGCCCCATGTAAAAGACTGTGTATCATTACAAATTATAAAAATGTATAAACTTCTATTTATATAAATATATATAATACTGTGATATACTGTATTACTGTAAACCACACTGTATGAACTTAAGATTGAATTTGTAAATGTCCCCCTTTAATCATAACCACACCACACGTTTCAGCTAAATTGGTCCGGGAATCTTCAGGGAACGTTCCCGGTTCCCTAAGGATTTATACAATAACCTTTAGATTACTTTCAGGCAATGTTCATTTGACCGTTAGAAGTACAGTAATGTTACCTAACAGCTCTTTAAAGTTTGTATTTTTTCCCAAATACATTTCTGAAAACGTTCTGGAAATGTTTCCGGTTATTGGAATAATCTTTGGGGAACTTTCCCTAAAGATTCCATATTTAACATATTGGGAACGTTCTAGTCTTTGGAAGGCTAGAAATACATTTTTGCATTTATTATTATTATTAATAAATTATTTATTTTTGTACACAGTTTGATGTGGAAAATACCGATATTTTTCTTGCCTTTTCCAGTTATTAAAATTATTATTTTAGACATTAGACGTTTGTATTGCATGGCGATGACATACTGAGAAGCAGAGGTGGGAAGTAGTCGAGTACAAATATTTCGTTACTGTACTTAAGTACATTTTTATTTTAGTACATTTTTCTGGTATCAGTACTTTACTCCACAACTTATTTTTCTGACGACTTTTTACTTTTATTTCTTACATTTTTAACACAAATACCTGTACTTTCTACTTCTTACATTTTCCAAACAGGCTGGTTACTTTAGTTTGAATGTGTGTTTGGTGGCGTGATCATTATTATTTAGAGTCATTGCGTGCCTATTGATTTGAACACGATCCGTGTATCCATCATTTCCTGAGGCCTGTACTACGAAGCTGGTTCAACCTAACCTGGATATGTTTGAGTTAGCCGGTTGGCCCAATCCAAAACATACGCGCTCTCGCTAAGCTGTACTACGACGCTGGTTATCAAGTGGATCGCTCAAGCCAGCCGTGTCCTATCTAGTTAGGTGCGCGTTCACATGAAAGGGGTGGTATTTGGAGCATTCGACCAATCACAAACACGGACAAGCGTACTGACAGCGCAGCGTCATACTTCCTGAATGAAAAGTGAACTTTAATATTAGACAAATATGAAGAAGTTAAACTTTAAACATCCATGACTTAAACACTTTATCCAGGATAAAAGCCACATAGCTGCACCTGCAAGGTGAATACAGCTGGTAACAGAAAAAGTGTTTGAATACGTTCATTAACAGGTTTATGATATCACTGCCCCGTCTAAGACACGATCTGACTTTAATTACATTTGACTCGAGTGTTTCGTCAACTTAATGTGTTGCTTAAAATAATACTTCTGCATACAGTATGTGACACTGTGAGTGTTGCACGGCCAGATACGGCTCAAGAAGCTGACTCAAATAAGGAAATATATGATACATTATGATGTGATTGTCACGATCTGTCTGTGTTGTGTTTTGTCTTGTCTTTTTCTGTCTCTGGTTTCCTGTTTTGTTTTGAAATGTTTTCCTCCTTGTGTCTTCTCTGAAAATAAAGCTCGCTTTTGTTTCTAGACCTTTTTACCTTGTTTTGTAGTCTGCATTTGGGTCCTACCCTTTCCACGCATCCTAACAGAATGAACCGACCAAATATGGACCCAGCGGATATTGAAGATTTTGAGGTAGATCTGTTCGATCTAGACTTTTCCCTTCAATGTTATGTCGAGTGGAGTGGAACCTCGTCAAGAAGGGACAAATGGAGGTGTCTAACATGCCATGGCTGAGGAGCTCGTTGCCTGAATGGCTCAGAGTTTTTTCACGTAGCCCCGAGTGCCAGTCTCCATTCTCTGACCCTTTTTTGGGATCCCGTCTGGCGTTTGGAGGTCCACGGAGCCTCTAAAAGACCTCAAAGAAACGCAAGGTCAGGAAGCCAGCTCGTAATCCAGTACCGGCCCACACAGCCATGGATCCGTGCACCAGTACCGGCCCACACAGCCATGCTTCCGTGCTCGATTACCTGGCTCACACAGCCAGGGTCCAGGCTTCTGTTCCGTGCCCAGCAGCCATGGTCACTGCTCCAGAACCGGACCTTACAGTCATGTTTCCGTGTTCCAGTGCCGGCCCACACAGTCATGGTACCGTGCTCCAGTACCATCCCACACAGCCATGGTTCCGTGTTCCGGTTCCGTGCCCAGCAGCCATGGTGCCTGCTCCAGTACCGGCCCACACAGTCATGGTTCCGGCTCCAGAACCGGCCCACACAGCCATGGTTCCAGCCCCAGTTCTGGCCCCAGCAGCCATGGTTCCGGCCCCAGTTTTGGCCCCAGCAGCCATGGTTCCGGCCCCAGTTCTGTCCCCAGCAGCCATGGTTCCAGCCCCAGTTCCGGCCCCAGCAGCCATGGTTCCGGCTTCAGTTTCGGCTCCAGTACTGGCTCCCCGGTCGACGCCAGCCACCCGTGTTTTGTCAGTGGTTCGGCCCACTCCAGCCCCTCGTGTCCTGTCGGTCGTCCGGCCGACTCCAGCACCTCGTCTCCTGTTGGCTCTCCGGCCGACGCCAGCCCCCCGTGTCCTGTTGGCTCTACGGCCGACGCCTACCCCATGTCCTGTGATGTTGGAGGTCCCGCCGACTACTCTTCTGCCGGGGGTCCTGCCAACCCTATGTCCTGTGATGTTGGAGGTCCCGCCGACTACTCTCCTGCCGGGGGTCCTGCCAACCCTATGTCCTGTGATGTTGGAGGTCCCGCCGACTACTCTTCTGCCGGGGGTCTTGCCAACCCTATGTCCTGTCCCGTTGGGGGTCCCGCCGACTACTGCTCCGCCGGGTTTCCTGCCAACACCAGATCCTGTCCTGTTGGGGGTCCCGCCGACACCTACTCCGCCAGATTTCCTGCCTACACCATATCCTGTCCTGTTGGGGGTCCCGCCGACACCTGTCCTGCCAGGGGTCCTGCCAACTCTGTGTCCTGTCCTGTTGGAGGTCCCGCCGACACCTGTTCCACCGGAGGTCCTGCCAACTCTGTGTCCTGTTCTGTTGGGGGTCCAGTCGACACCAGCCCTTGCTCCATCCGGGGTCCCATTGACACCAGCCCATGTCATGTTCAGGACCCCGTCTACGCCTGTCCCGTCGGCTCCGGTTCCTGTCCGGCCGATACTGGGTCCTGCTCGTCCTCCGGAGCTGTCCCGTCGGCGCCTTCCTGCCCGTCCTACGGAGCTGTCTCGTTGCCGCCTTCTTGTTCGCCCTCGAGCCCGGCCCCCTGAGTGCCGCAGTCTTCGCCCTCGAGCCCGGTCTCCTGAGTTCCCCAGCCGCGGTCTTCGCCCTCGGGCTCGGCCCCCTGATTCTTCCAGCCGCTGCCTTCGCCCTCGAGCCCGGCCCCCTGAGAGCCGCTGCCTTTGCTCTCATGCCCGGCCCCCTGAGTTCACCCGCTGTGGCCTTCGCCCTTTTTTTAACTCTGCCTTGCCCCCGGGCCGTCCGCCCGAGACCCCCTCCTTGATCTCTGCCTTGCCCCCGGGCCGTCCGCCCGAGACCCCTTCCGGGTCCTCCGCTGTGCCCCTGGGCTGTCAGCCCAAACCCGTCCTCCAGACCCCCTCCACCCACCCTGCTGGAATTTTTGGGACTTTTTGGGACTTTTTGGGACGTCTGGGATCCGTCGCTTGAGGGGGGGGGTTATGTCACGATCTGTCTGTGTTGTGTTTTGTCTTGTCTTTTTCTGTCTCTGGTTTCCTGTTTTGTTTTGAAATGTTTTCCTCCTTGTGTCTTCTCTGTTCCTTCTTCCTGTGTTTGCCTTCCTGTCATTAGTTTCCCTGGTGTGTCTGATTGTCTGATTGTGTTCACCTGTTGCCCTTGTGTTTCTGCCTCCCTTACCCCAGCTGTGTCTTGTCTTGTGATTACCCCTCTCTGTATTTAGTCTTGTCTTCCCCTGTGTGCCTTGTCGGTTCATTGTCTCTCCTGTCTCCCTCCAGGTTGGTCACGGTCAGTTTTTGTGCTACCTATGTGTTTCATGCCATGTTTTTGTTCAGCTTTGAAAATAAAGCTCGCTTTTGTTTCTAGACCTTTTTACCTTGTTTTGTAGTCTGCATTTGGGTCCTACCCTTTCCACTCATCCTAACAGTGATATGATATGAATGATAATGGGACACATCGACGTCTGCACTCACAGTGCCGCGGACTGTACTTAATGTTACTCTGATCCGGTTACTTATGTTGTGGCAGATATTTAAGTAAGCTTTCTTAACGCTAATGTTATAATAGTCAGATTGCTCTGAAGATGGGAGGGGATATTCTATTAATGTTCACGTTCACACAGTCAGTGGATTTTTGCTGGCCGTCTTTCCTGCAACGGCAGTTTTTCTGTATTTCCTCTATCCTGTATGACTTGATAGCTTTAAACTCCGCACACGGAGCTCTGATTGGTCAGCAGGCGGTGCTTTCACTGAGTTGATCTCTTAGCCTGCAACCTAACCTGCTCCGGAGCAGGTTTGCCGCTCGGCATAAGTTACCATGGAAATCTAGCCTGCTAAAAAGAGAACCAGCGTCGTAGGACCGGAAAGCCCGAGTTTTCCCTGAAGTCAGCCGGCTAAGCGAAAATCCAGCTTCGTAGTACAGGCCTCTGGTCTTCTCTAAAGAAGAGGGACCAATGAAAACGTTGTCATGTTGCCGTTGTTATTATTGTTCTATTAATATAAAGGGAGGTCAGGTACTCTTTAAAACAGTTGGTAGTTATGGGTACTTTTTACTTAAGTACATTTCAAAGCCCATACTTCTTTACTTTTACTTGAGTAAAGATGTTTAGTCAGTACTTCTACTTTTACCAGAGTATTTTTTAACTTGAGTATCTGTAACTTCTACTTGAGTAAAGGATGTGTGTACTTTTGCCATCTCTGGTGAGAAGTAATAAACACTTTATATTTATTTGGGATTATATTATTATTATAAATTCATTGC